TTCTCTTACTGTTTTTGGGGCCACATCTGGCAATGCTCAGGGCTTATTCCTGGCTCTGCACTCAGGAATTACTCCTGGTGGTGCTTGAGGAACTATATGGGATGCCAGGGGTTGATCCCGGGTCAGCTGCATGCAAAGCAAGCGCCCTATCCACTGTGCTATTTCTCCAGCCCCCTATTGGACTTTCTGAACTTTCATTCTGTGGCTCACTTGGGGGACCATGTGGGGTGCTGGGGATTGAACCACAGTTGGCTGTGTGTGTAAGGCAAGTGCCCTTCCTGCTTGCCTGTCGCTCATGCCCCTGTGGTTCACTCCCCTTTTTTTTTTTTCACAACCCAGTCCACTCTGCCTTTCCCCTACCTATCCCAGCTCCTTTGGTCTCCTTTGGGAATTTCCCCTCCTTGTATTATCATCAAGATGTTGGGTTGCCATTGTCCACACTTAACTCTCTCTGTCTCTCTCTCTTTCTCTTTCTCTCTCTTTCTCTCTCTGTGACTCTCTCTGGTTTTTTTTTTTTTTGGCTTTTTGGGTCACACCCAGCAATGCTCAGTGGTTACTCCTGGCTTTGCACTCAGGAATTACTCCTGGCATTGCTCGGAGGACCATATGGATGCCAGGGATGGAATCTGGGTCGGCCGCATGCAAGGCAAAAGCTCTACCCACTGCGTGCTATCACTCTGGATCCATCAACCCACTCTCTTCTGTTCTCTTGTGTTCCTCTGCTTTCAGCTAGCAGCTTTTATTATTTTTATTTTTCGGTTTTGGGGGCACAACCAGGTGTGCTCAGGGCTTACTCCTGGCTCTGTGGTCAGGGATCAGTCCTGATGGGGCTCAGGAGACCACGTGGGGTGCCTGTGCCAGCTGTGTGCAAGGCAAGCACTCTACCCACTGTACTATCTCTCCAGCCCTGCCACCTTTAAATACATAGGGGCCAGTGACTTGGGCCTAAGGAACCCAAGGCCCCTGCTGGCAGTGCTCAGTGTCACAAAGGCCATACCTGCAGTATTGGGAGCTATAAGGAGTGAGGGATCAGACACAGGGCCTTAAACATGCTGTGCATCACTCTACCATTTGAACTATGTTCCCAGTCCTTAGTAACACCTTTCAAAGTTGACTGCCAAATCCAAATCACCAACGCAGATTTCCTTTCAAAATGCCATATACCCAGCTATTCATAACTGTTTAGCAGCTATCTCTATTTAAATAAAAATTACAAGAGGAATTATAGGCTCTAGAATCGAAATTGCTTGGGTTCAAAACATTGCTCCATCTCTAGCTGAACTGCATCATCTTGGCAAGATACTTATTGCCCCGTGTTTCTCACAATGGTAATGACCACACCTTCTGGATGGCAAGGACTCAATGAGGTGACACATATACACCACTTAGCTTAATGCCTGGCAACAGTAGATGTGGAGAGAAGTCATAATTAAAGGTCCCCAGAAAGCTCAATTTAGGGGCTAGAGAGAAAGTACAGGGACTAGGGCACTTGCCTTACATACAGCTCACCCTGGTTGTAACTCTGGGATTGCATATGATCCCCCAAGAATCTCCAGGAGCAAGGCCTGAGCACCAACGGATGGGGATCCCAAAACAAAACAATACTTTTTTAAAAAAATTTTTGCTCAAAGGGTAGAGCACATGCTTTGCCCAGAGCAATCCTGTGTTCACCTCCTATACCTCGTGGCCGCTTAAGCATGGTTGGGAGTGACCTCAAGGCACTGAGCCAGAAGCAGCCCCCAAACACTGCTAGATGTGATCCCAAAACCAAAAAAGAAGACAATGTAAACATTTGGAGGCTGGGAAGACAGACTGATGTGCACAGGAGCCTGGGCTGGATCCCTAACACTGCATGGCCTCCCTCTGCACCACTGGGTGTAGCCCCGTGGCTCTCTAGTACCACCAAAGGACTCCCCCTTAATAAACTTGTAAGATATGAATATTTGATGGTTGCTATGGTTGGGCACATTATTACCCTATTTGGGGCAGGTTTCTGGGGGTTGGAAGCTATCCCCAGCGGTCCTCAAGGTTTATTCTGGGTTCTGTGCTCAGGGTTCACTCCTAGTGGCACTTAGGGGATCATACACAGTGTTGGGGTTTTAACTTGGGCCAGCTGTGTGCAAGGCAAGTGCCTGACCTGATGTAGTATCTCTCTAGCCCCTTGTAATGAAGGGAGACCTGATAAACACTTAAGAGAATTTAGGATGCAGTCATCACCAATTAAAAAAAAATTTTTTGTGGCTGGAGCAACAGTATAGCAGGTAGGAACACTTTTTTTTTCTTTTTGGGTCACACCCGGCAATGCACAGGGGTTACTCCTAGCTCATGCACTCAGGAATTACTCCTGGCAGTGCTCAGGAGACCATATGGGATGCTGGAATCGAACCTGGGTCGGCTGCATGCAAGGCAAATGCCCTACCCACTGTGCTATCGCCCCAGCCCCAGGTAAGCACACTTTTCTTGCATGTAGCCAAACTGCATTCCATCCCAAATGTTCTCCTGAGCCCTCCAGGAGTGATCTTCGAGTGCAGAGATAGGAAGAAGCCCCAAGCACCTTGGAAGTGACCCAAAACAAACAACAAACAAAAAGCTTGTTCCATCTCAGAGATCACTCTTTTCTTTCTTTTAATTTATTTAATTCATTTATTTTTAGAGCTGGAGCGATAGCACAGTGGGTAGGGCGTTTGCCTTGCACGCAGTTGACCCAGGTTCGATTCCTCTGTCCCTCTTGGAGAGCCCGGCAAGCTGCCTAGAGTATCCCGCCTGCACAGCAGAGCCTGGCAAGCTCCCCGTGGCATATTAGATATGCCAAAAACAGTAGCAAGTCTCACAATGGAAACATTACTGGTGCCCACTTGAGCAAATTGATGAACAAAGGGAGGACAGTGCTACAAGACAGTGCTACAGTGCTACATTTATTTTGGGGGTGCATACCTGGTGGTGATCAGGGTTTACTCCTGGCTCTGTGCTCAGGAATCACTCCTGGTGGGTTTGGGGGACCTTATGTGGTGCCAGAGATGGAACTCAGGTTGGCTACATGCAAGGCAAGTGCTTTAACTGCTGTGCTGTCCTCCTAAGGGATCACTCTTGGCAGTGCGTGGGGACCAAGGAGGGGGAGATTGAACCCAGGGCTCTAGCATTCAAAACATGTGTTCAGGGGCTAGAGAGGTTATAGAAGGTAAGGCCTTGCACACAGCCGACCCGAGTTCTTGGTACCACAAATGGTTTCCCAACACTGCCAGGAATGATCCCTGAGCACAGAGCCAGATGGGGCACAGCTGGGTGTAGTCCCAAAACAAAACAAAAACCCAACAACAACAATAAAAAAGACCACTTATGTCACTCAAATTGCATTAAAGGGCCTACCTCCTGACCAGGCTTGTCAGCCTCAGAAGGACTCTTTTGCCTGACCTGAAAATTAAGACTTCAACTGGGAGACACATCAAAATGTAATCTCAAGCAGGGTTCCAGTTTGCTGCGGAGGGTCAATCTGTGCAGTTCCTCTCCCGCAGCACCTGGGGCGCTCTCCCCACTGTGAGTGACTAGCATCATAAACAGACACAGCTTCTCCAGCAGCGAGGGAAAATGCTAGCCCTGCAGATTCAGAGCAGCCCCAACGTGCACTCCATCCCTGAACCCGCCTCTTCCCATGTCAACTGCTAGGGGGCAGGATTCCAGACAGCAGGTAGGACACTTGCTGATAAGAGTTAGATCCCAGGCACCCCATATGGACCCCTGACTCCTGAGTCAGGAATGATCCCTGAGTGCAGTCAGATGTGTGTTTTTTGTTGTTGTTTGTTTCCCTAAAAACAAAATGAGGTCAGTTCCCCTTTGCTCAGGACATTCTTTCCACCCCAGGGTTATTTTTCTGTAGGGAAGTAGGGGAGAGACAGGTCACCAGGCTGTGCTCAGGACTTACTCCTGGTTCTATGTTCAGGGAGCACTCCTGGCAGGGCTCAGAGGACCATATGGGATGCCAGGGATGGAGCCCTGTTCAGCGGTGTGCAAAGCCAGCACATTCCCTGCTGCATTAATGTACTGTCTGGGTCCTGCAAGGTTATTTCTTAATCCTCCTGACCCCATCTGCAGGCGCATCCTGGGCCACATGGGAAGACCTCCCAGCCACCTGGGCTCATCCACGCAGTATTTTCATTTTTTCCCACGGGGCAACAAACTGCGCCAACCCAGACTCTGGGCCTCATTACACTGATTAAGCAAAGAGGAAAACGCTGTTTGCATACACACCATAGCTCTCTCCCCAAGCGCCTGGCACCCGTGCCCAGATAACTCCACACCCTCGCTGGTGTTCCTTTCTGTTTTCCTTACATGCCCTGCATACAGAGTCATTAAGTATGATTTATAAGCCCTACTAAATTACAGTTTATAGATCCGAGGCACAAAATAGATATATACATATTTCTTGAAAGCCAAGTTAGAAACCCCACTAAAATGAGATGCAAACCAACAATTGACATAAATATCCTAACGGAATGGTCCCAAGCACTGTCAGCCGGAGAAAGCAGCGTGTAAACCATCTGGGCCATAATGGGCCTTAATACTAGGATCGCTTTCAGCCCACTTCCCCATCCCGCTGGGCCAGAACTGGCGCAGATAAAGAAAAAGCCGCACCAAGTGGGAGGAAAAAAAAGAAAAGAAAAAAGAACACAACAACACAGACACACATAAAAAACACCAATTAGCCTTGATGCCGGGTCAACAGCCTGCACCAGAGCGTAAGGCCTTTGTGGCTCTGAACGAGGCGGGTTACTTGGCCGCCCCCCTTCCACGGCCCTGTGCGCCCCCCCACCCCCTCGCCCTCCAGCCGCCTCCCAGCTGCGCGGGGGGTCTAAAAATAGCGGCGGGCGCCCACCGGCGCGCGGTTACATAAGGCCCGGGGTAGGAACCGAAGGTGCCTGGGTCAGGGGTGTCGCCGCGAATAGGGTCCCCCGGAGCCGGCCCCGGCCAGGCGCGGCGGGGGCGGAGGCGCGGGCCTGCGGGCGCGGGCGGCGGCGGCGAGGCCCGGGCGCGGGCGGTCCCCGCGCGCTCTGCCCATGGCCCCGAGCGGGCCGCGGCGGCGGCGGCGCTGAGCGGCCCCGGGGCGCGGGGCCCGGGCGCCCGGGGCGAGATGAGCGGCCCGCTGGAGCAGAAGGAGCAGCAGGAGCGGCTGCGCGAGGCCGCGGCCTTGGGGGACATCCGGGAGGTGCAGAAGCTGGTGGAGAGCGGGGTGGACGTGAACTCGCAGAATGAGGTCAACGGCTGGTGAGTGGGGGGCGCGGGGGAGGCCGAGGGTCGGGGCCCCGAGCTGGGGACGGCGGGGGTGGGGTGGGGGTGGCGTGCGCCAGGGGCCGGCCCCTTCCCCCCCTCGCCCCTGCGCCGGGTGCCTGCGAGCCGGCGAGCGCGCGTCCGGCCCCGGCCCCGGCCCACGTGGTTCTTCGGGGCGGGCCCCCCGCGCCCCCTGCCCGCCGCCGGGCTGGGTCCGCAGGCCCAGACGGACCGAGATCGCCCCGGTTCCGGCTGCACTGGGCTCGGCCGCGAGGGGCTTCCGAGCCCAGCCCTCCAGGGTCCCGCAGCGCGCACACGCCGCGGAGCCCGCCGGGAGCGGCGGGGAGGGGCGCGATTCCTCGAGCCCCGCGCCCCCCGCACCGCCCCCAGGGGCTTGGCGCCTCGTGGGCTTCCCGTCGAAGCCAGATTTGCAGCCCCCAGCCTGGAGCCGCCCCCCGCCGCCGAACCCTCTCCAGGCGAATCAGGAGCCCCCTTGGAACACGTGCCCCGGGGGGAGGGGAGGAGGATCGAGTCTATTTCGTGGTCAGTTACTGAACGTCCTATTATTCGGCCCCCCCTTTTTTTTTGGTCTGTCCACGGGAATACGCCGCTTGGCCCTAGGTAACGTTTGACCAAACCCGTTTGCTCGCTTAGCTGTTCACGGTGTCTTCGGGAACGGAAAGGCACCAGTTTGGAGGTGGGTGGGTGCGGCCCAGGAAGAGCACTGTTTAGGCACAGCCGGGACGGGGTCCTGGGGTCCTGACTCCCTCCCACAGGTCTGACTCCTTATCCTTAAAAAAAAAAAAAAAAAAAAGCAAACGGCCTTTGCTGGGGCCGGAGAGAGCGGACCTGGAAGCTGCCAACACTGCGTCCAACTGAGCATGCCCGGCTTGACCCCTGCTAAAGAGTACCGGCCAGGTGTGCCCCTGCCCCGCCCCGCCCCGCCCCTGGCCCAAACCCTATCAGCTTAAGTAGCAGGGCAGAGCGCTTGAAACAGTTGATAACCACCCGCCCCACCCACTTTTTTTTTCTTTTTTTAAAGTTTGCAAACTGGCTTGCAATGTGTGCCTCTTCAGGGCTAGGTTTTTTGTTTTTGTTGTGTGTGTGTGTGTGTGTGTGTGTGTGTGTGTGTCTCACAAACTGCAAATCACCGTCTTGTCACTGGGAGGCAGTGAAGTGTAGAAGGAGGGATCGGTTTTTCCGACAGTTCTTTTCCATTCCTGTCCAGCTATCTATACCCCCGTGCCTGAGTCACTTAATTTTGCAGTTGCTTCCGAGGATCGTTGGGAACCGTTAGTCAGACGGAGCCTAAGTTAGTTCGTGTGTATTGAGTTTGCCCTATAGGGGCTCCTACGCACTTGACATGTGTGGCCTGCAGCTGTTGTTATTCTTTCCATCCTACAGAAGGAGAGACGGAGGCCCTAGATCCCCTCACTAAGGAGTGGAGCTGGGCCATGAACCCAGCATTAACTCTAGACCCTGTTTTCCTAGTCACCATCTGCCATATAGTAGGTGTTCCAGTGAATGTGACCTTGGCGGTACCCGAAAGAGGCGTCTCATAAGTGAAACTGGGGGAGATATGTCAGAGGGCCCTCAAGCTGAATGTTTCCAACACCAAGTTCCGAATCCGCGTTCTTCTCCCCGCCACATCCGTGCCCCCATGCCAAGCCTGCTTCCCTGAGCCCTCCCGATCTTAGTGCCTGAGGAGCCCAGCCCCAGCCCTCGGTAGTCCCCTCCAAGGTCTCCGTCTTTCTCTTCCACACCACCTCCAGGCAGTAGCAAAACCCACCATCCCCACTTTCTGCTCTGGGCAAAGTCTGACCACTTCTGCTTCTACCACTGCCCCTTTCTGGGCCCGCGTGTTGCAGCCGCCCTTGCTTCTATCCTTCTGCTCTACAGTCTGTTCTCAGCTTGACAGTTTGAGGGGTCCTGATTTAAAATGGAAATGGAGGGTAAGCCGGAGAGATAGTCCAGGGGGTTGGGCGCTTGCCTTGCAGGTGGCTGACCTAGGTTTGATCTCTGGCATCCCAAATGGTCCCCCACCCCAGCCCTTCTGTGATTTAGCCCTGAGCACCCCCGGGTGTGGCCCAAAACAACAACAACAACAACAACAGAGATTAAAAAAAAAAATAAGTGGAGAGTCTGGAGAGAGATTACGGTGGGTTAGGTGCCTACTGGGTTCAATCCCTGTGTTCCCTGTGTCATGCCAGGAGTGATCCCTGAGTACATTAGATGTGGCCTAAAACCAAAAAACAAACCCACAGGTAGATCTCTTTGCTCAGAACCCACGCTGGATGCCCTCCACGCTGAGGAGTAGCCCCGGGGTCCTGTCCCCTAGGCCTTCGTGCCCCGTGTCAGGGTTTGCCCCTTGCTCCTTTCCTTCTGCTTCCCGGTCCTTCGGGCTTTTCCAAAGCGCCAGGCAAGTCCTGATCCCAGACCTCACCTCCTGGGGGGTCTCAGCTTGGATATCATGGTAAGCCTTTCCTGGTCCCTCATTAAAAATGGCCCAGGGGCTGGAGCGATAGCACAGCGGGTAGGGCGTTTGCCTTGCACGCAGCCAACATGGCTGACCCAGGATCGATTCCCAGCATCCCATATGGTCCCCCGAGCACCGCCAGGAGTAATTCCTGAGTGTATGAGCCAGGAGTAACCCCTGAGCATCGCCGGGTGTGACCCAAAAAGCAAAAAAAAAAAAATGGCCCATATCTCCTCCCCCCTGCCTCTGGTGTTCCCTAATCTCTTTCCTGGCGAGAGCCCTTCCTCCATCATCACCTCGAATGCCATCACCTCAAATACTGTGCTGTGATGCCAGGATAACCACCTCGGTTTCCTCATCTGTAAAATGGGGGCAGTGTTAATAGTAGTACTTGGCTCCTAGTACTGTCAGTGTTGATACTAGTGCGGTTAATAGCTCCCGACTGGCTTGGAGGCTTCAGTGAGCTGGTCCATGGGAAAGCTTTGGAGCAATGTCCGACATGTATGGCATTCTGTCTTTATTAGCTGTTATTATCTTCCTACTACTAAACGACATTCTGGGTAATGAGGTATTAAGATCATTCTAAAAATCCCTTGCTGTCCAGCAGAGAAAAACAGAATGGTTACGGCTTTCGGGTTTTTGGTTGTTCAGCTTCAGTGCTCGTGACTGATAGCCCAGCGCCTCTGGCCTGAGGGGCTTCCCAGCACCCATAGGAGATTCTGGCTGCAAAATCAAGGCGAAACAGTTGTAGTTCAGCTCGAGACAGAGTCCCCGCCTTGGTAGTCATTCAGGTGTCATGCATACTTTTTGGCTTTAAGGAACAAGTGAGGGACCATGAGGAAGCCGAAATGACTGCCTGGCTGGAGGGACTCTGAGTGATGGCTACCCAGAGCCACACACGGGCCTGGGCGGTGAATGATGATCACTGGAGGCACAGGGCCGTGGGGACCGTGTTGTGTTGACTTAACCCCACTTTGTATGGTGATGCTTTAGCGAGGTGGTTTGTCCCATAATCTCGGGCTCACTGGCAGTAAATTACCTCCTTCACTCTCCAGCTTGCCACGAGCAAGTGATTTACTACTAGCAAGTGAGCACTTTTATTTCCAAAAGGGAACATATTTTTCTCATCATGCTCCATTCATTTTTGAGAGCTCACTTATCATTATAATTACTCACTTTTCAAACCTCTGCCACAGACATCCACCCGCAAACACACTCTTGACTGCAGTTTGCTCAAAATCATGATTGCAGTTGGAGCCTGCTCTGCTAAAAGCAGTGTCCGCCTGGTCTCATTAGGCAAGTATCAGCAGAGCAGCTCTGCGTCCGGCAGGTTCCTCTCGGCTGCGTGGCGCTGACGGCGTAAGGTCTAGACCCACTGCCGAGTGTATCTTAAAGGACCTGGATCTGCTGATTCTAATGAGTGACTGTCAGGTGTCACTCTGAAACCTCAGTGACGTTGCTCCCAGACCAGGAGACACGTTCATGTTCTGGAAGTCAAGAATGTGAGGATTTTTTTTCCCGGAGCCAGATGAATGTTCTAGAATAATTGCACGCTGCCCAGGGTTGTGACCCAACCCTCACTATTGAGCCTCCCTTCTATTCCTTTGACTTCGTCTCTGTTTGACTCTCTAAGCCCCGAAGATATTTGCATGGGTTCGATTAGAGAGTTGGTAAATGAGGACATTTCAAAACAGAGGGGAGAAACATATTCTCCTTCTGTAATATCATTCAGCTTTGGCAACAGGGAATGTATTTAGTAGCTCTGCAGCCTCTCATTTCTGTTTAGATGGAGTTTTTGCCAGCATGCTAATTATATTTCTATGCAGCATTAAAATAATAGCCCTTCAGAGTGTCCACAGTCCCTTCCTGTGTGTACAATATTATATAATTAGCTTTATTTAAATGAGTCTGATACATTTAGAAGAGTTTGTTCTTCGAATTTTTTGGTAATGGATGTACATATTTAAAGTGCCTTAGGAATAAAAGTATGTGTTGCTGTGCATTTAACCACATGAGTATATGCTTGTAGCCTCTCTGGAGAGCTGAAGAAAACCACTTATTTTTTTTTTCTTTTGGGCTGCCCCCAGTGGTGCTGGGGGCTCCTCCTGGTTCTGTGCTGGTTTGGGGGGGGGGTGGCAAAGGGTCACTCCCAGTCACGCTTGGGGACCTTGTGGAGCCAGGGATTGAACCAGGACCTTCATCCTGCCCGTTGAGGTATCTCTCTGGCCCAAGAAGCCAATTTGAAAATTTATTTTAATTTGTTATTATTTAGAAGGGGGTGGTTTGGTATGATCCCAGACCACAGACACCCAGTGATACTCAAGGCTTACTCCTGGCTCAGTGCTCAGGGATCACTCCTGGCCGGGCTCAAACCCTCCTTGGCTATGGTCCTTATGCAAGGTAAGCCCCTTACCTGCTCTACTCTCTCTGCCTTGAAGCCAGCTTTTTCAAAAGTAGAAAATTGGACATTGTTTTATTTTACGAAGGTAAGAAAAAAGAGGAAGCGAGTGAGCAAGTGATATTGAGATGGAAATATCTACCATAGTAATAAAAATTTCAGAGGCAGAGCAAGCTGTCAAGAGGAGATGGTTAGCAGCCTGACAATACTTAATCTTTAGACATTTGATGCATATAAAGTGAGTTTCATAGCCCCTAAAAAGAAGTGTGGAAATGTGGAAACATTTTCAAGAGACCGGGGCAATCTAATGAAAGCTCTCCTGCTAGAGAACGCCCAGCAGTGCCGTGTGATTCAGCGGCCGGCCCCAGCCTGCTGGAGGCCACTGGAATGAAGACTCTGAGGATAATTGAGTTTTTCCCAGTGGCCAGAAATGAAATCTTAAAATGCATTTCCACTATATTAAATATTTTGATCATCCACTTTCCAGAAAGCACAGGTGAGATTCCCGGCTTGGCGTTCTGGTTCCAGCTGGATTTTTAAGGGGCTGACTTATGCTTCGTTTACTTACGGCTGGAGCGATAGCACAGTGGGTAGAGCGTTTGCCTTGCACGTGGCGAACCCGGGTTTGATTCTTCCATCCCTCTCAGAGAGCTTGGCAAGCTACTGAGAGTATCCCGCCCGCACAGCAAAGCCTGGCAAGCTACCTGTGACGTATTCGATATGCCAAAAGCAGTAACAACCACTCTCACGACGGAGACGTTACTGGTACCCGCTGGAGCAAGCTGATGAACAATGGGACGACAGTTCTACAGTGCTTCTTACATGCCGACTTGCAGTCCTCCTTTGAGTCACACCTCTCTCCCCTTCCTCGGGACAGGACCTGTTTGCACTGGGCGTGCAAGCGCAACCACGGCCAGGTGGTCTCTTACCTGTTAAAGTCGGGGGCAGACAAAGACATCCTCACCACCAAAGGAGAGATGCCCGTCCAGTTGACATCAAGGAGAGAAATCAGGAAGATCATGGGAGGTAAGCTCGTGCGCGGGGTAGGGGGCGGGGGGCGCAGGTTTTAATTTTATCGGCTGTGACCTTGATGCCAAGCAACCCGCTCTTCTTCCCCTCTTCCTTCCCTTTGCTGTGGCATCTGTGACTGGCTCGCTCTCTCCCCCTCCCCCCCTCCCTCCCTCTCCTCTCCCCTCTCCCCTCTGCTCCCCTCTCTCTCTCCCCCGTCTCTCTTCCTCTCCCTCTCTCTCTCTCCTCTCACGGTGTTGACCCCTTGGGTCACCAGCATTGGCGCTGCTGGGACAGAACTGGGCATTCAGGCCGGTGCCCAGGAATTGAATTTGTGCCTCAGGCCTGCAACGCAGGTGCTGTACCACTGAGATGCATCTCCAGGACCCTCAACTACTCTATTTTATTCATTTATTTATTTTGGCTTTTGGGGGGAGGGGGTCACACCCCGCGACGCTCAGGTTACTCCTGGTGCTGCACTCAGGAATTACTCCTGGCAGTGCTTGGGGAACCAGATGGGACGCCGGGGATCAAACTTGGGTCAGCCGCGTGCAAGGCCAACACCCTCCCCGCTGTGCTCTCGCTCCAGCCCCCAACTCCTCTATTTTAAATGCAGCGGGTAAGTTACTGTGCAGAGGTAGTAATGCCACCTTGTTTCTGGACAGGTAGGCATCATAAGGTAGTATTCATCTCATCTGGAAGACTCCTGCACAACAAGAAGCTTCTTTTCTCTTCACGCTTGAGACAGGGAGATGGCTTCAAGGGCTGGAGGAGAGGGATGGGGGTAGGGGTTAAGGGGGTGGGGAGCTCCGGGTTATATCCCCAACACCGCATGATCCCCTGTGCACTTCCAGTGAGGGGCTGGCCTGGCATGTGGCTGACCAGGGTTCAATCCCTGGCATTCCATGTCGTCCCCTGAACCCTGCCGGGAGTTATTCCTGAGCAAGGGAACAAGCTCTGAGCACAGCTCGGTATGACCCCAAACAGAAGACTGGCCCCAGGCTTGAAGTTGTAAATAGCAAACACTGATCAAACTATTTCTCCTGTCCCACGGGAAACTCACTTTCACAAGACGTTCTGCCCTTGGCAGTTTTCAGAGGGCTGCAAACACTCTCTGTGCTTTCTTTTTTAAGTGGAAGAGGAGGATGACGGAGATAACCTGCCCCAGCTGAAGAAGGAGTCAGACCTGCCCTTTGTTCCCAACTACCTGGCCAACCCGGCCTTCCCTTTCATCTACACCCCCTCGGCAGAGGAAGCAGCCCCGCTGCAGAATGGGGGCCCCTCCTCCCCCCCGGCCTCACCCCCGGCGGACGACTCCCCTCCAGTGCTCTCCCCTGGGGACCCTCCCCTGCTCGGGGCCTTTCCCCGTGACCGCACCGCTCTGGCTCTGGTTCAGAACGGGGATGTGCCTGCCTCCTCCGCCATCCTCAGAACACCCGAAAGCACAAAACCCGGCCCTGTCTGTCAGCCCCCTGTGAGTCAGAACCGCGCGCTCTTCTCCGGCGCCTCCAAGCCGCCCGTGTCCCTGGAGCCCCAGAACGGGCCACAGGCAGGAGCAGCACCAGCCTTCCAGCCGTTTTTCTTCACTGGAGCATTCCCGTTTAATATGCAAGGTGAGCCCCTGCCGGCCAGGGTCTGGGGGTGGGGGGATGTGGGGGGGACTTGAGCTTTTCTCCCTAGTCCTTCAGGGCTGACGCTGGGATTGACGGATTGCTTTCACCTATAATTACAAACTTACAGGAAGGTTGTCGGACTCTGATCCAGAAGTTATCGTTTGCTCTTTAACCCTGAAATGCATGTGTTTCCTGAAAGCCAGGGAGGCCGTTTCTGCACGCCCAGCACGGTGGTTGGCGTATGGGGACTGTCACCGGCTCTCTAGTGCATGGTCTGAGTGGGTTTTTGTCACACCCGCTAGAGCCATGCTTACTCCTACACCCCTGCCTAGGTTCACCTATTGCATTTCCGTATCCTGCTGCTTTATTCTCCTTTCACCTGAAATATTTTCTCATTTTTGGTCAGTTTGGACCTCCGTGTCTTGAGCATTCCAGGCCAGTTTACAAGACTCTGATTTTCTGTCATACTTTCCCTGTTACTTGTATCCTGCTGTCAAGAAAATGGTGCCCTTTCCTTCTCCGTTTATCTTGAGAAGAATTCAAGCTTCGGGGGCTGGAGAGATAGCACAGCGGGTAAGGCGCTTGCCTTCCATGTGGCCAAACTGGGTTCGATTCCCGGCATCCCATGTAGTCCTCCCAGCCTACCAGCAGTGATGTTTGTGTGGCCCAGAAACAAACAAAAGAATTAATCAACTTCGGGGCTGTAGTCCCTGAGCAAGAAGTAGTGGCCCCTAAGCAGTGCTGGGTGTGGCCCCAAAGCCTCCCCACCCCAAACAAAGAAAATGAAATAAAAATTTACCAACATTATTTTCTTTTCTTTTTCAAATTTTTTAATTTATTATTTTTTTTTTTAAATTTTTATTAGACACCATGAGGTGCAGTTGTAGACTTACAAATTTTTGTGCTTGGGTTTCAATCACACAATGATCAAATACCCATCCCTCCACCAGTGCCCATTTCCCACCACCATGGATTCCAGTATCCCTCCCACCCCCCATACCCCCCTGCCTCTGTGGCAGGGCATTCCCTTTTGTTCTTTCTCTCTTATTGGGTGTTGTGGTTTGCAAAACAACATTATTTTCTTACTGGTTTTGAGGCCATACCTGGCGGTGGTTGCCGGTGACTCTTGGCTCAGTACCTGGGGGTTGCTCCAGGCAGTACTTGGGAAACTGTGTGGTGCTGGGGACCCAGTCCCTGGCTTCTGTATTAAACGCATGTGTTCCAGCCCTCTGAACCCTCTCCCTGGCCTCCTCTTACTTTTAAGAGGGACAAAAAAAAAAAAAAGAGGGACCAAACCGGGGCTGGAGCGATAGCACAGCGGGTAGGGTGTTTGCCTTACACGTGGCCGGCCCAGGTTCAATTCCCAGCTTCCCATATGGTCCCTCAAGCACGGCCAGGAGTAATTCCTGAGTGCATGAGCCTGGAGTAAACCCCGTGCATCGCCGGGTGTGACCCAAAAAGCAAAAAAAAAAGGTGGGGGGGGGGGGGGCAAACCCAGAGATCCTTGGAAGATTCCACCCAGCTCCAGGGCTTAAACTGGGCTCCACACAGGCATGTGCTCCCTGGCCTATAGTTCACAGATTCTCACTGGGCTGGAATCCATCACTGTCATCATTTTAATCTCCCCATTATGCTGGGTTTGTCCTTGGGGAGCCCCTCTACCAGTTCTGTGTCACTTGGACGTGTAATGTCACTCTCAGAGCACTTCCTTCATTTCCAGAGCAGCTGATGTTCCAGGGCCTGGGAACATTCTCCAAGATGCCCTGGTTCTTTTTTGGAGGAGGATGACCAAGTGTGGGTGCGGTTGATCAGTGCACTCTGCTTCTCGGATCCTTTCCTCCAGGTCCTCTCCGATTCGTGCCAGCAAAGACAGAAAGGGCACACAGACACACTTGTAAGCTTGTGAACGAGCTCAGAAATTAGGGGGAGTGTTGGGGGGCACTTGCCCTGCACGTGGCCAACCTGGGCTCTATCCCCGGTATCCCATATGGTCCCCTGAGCACGCCAGGAATAACTCCTGAATGCGGAGCCAGGAGTAACCCCTGAGCATCACAGGGTGTGACCCAAAAATCAAAAAGAAATTTGGGGCAGGCTGCTACCGTCCAGACTCACAAATAAATAGTGTCTCTCAGCTCCTAGAGTCAAGATTTGCTCCGTATTGAGGTATATTACATTCAAAGTATAGTTAAAGTTGTTTTCTTAGTAACTTAGGGCTTTTTTTTTTTTCTTGTTTACTGTTTATTGCTGGCAGAGTCTGGCAAGCTCCCCGTGGCATATTCGGTATGCCAAAAACAGTAACAAGAAGTCTCACAATGGAGACGTTACTGGTGCCCGCTCGAGCAAATCGATGAACAACAGGAGGACAGTGCAGACTATTTATTGCAAGGACTTCTGTATTCTGTAAATACCTTGCAATCTGTGATGTCAGGTACCATATCCTGCTCATGCCTTCTTTCTACCTCTCTTCTCACCCTGCTTCTGTGTAGTGTGATGCTCAAACCCATTCTTAGCTGTCCTCAGTTTAGTAAATGATCCTTCTCTTAGCGGGCGGGGGGGGGGGGGGGCGTTGTCTCCTTTGCCTCTTGCCTCTGATTTTCTAAACCAATCTCTGGCGTCACGGTCACGGTCCTCCCGTTGTTCATCGATTTGCTCGAGCGGGCCCAGTAACGTCTTCATCATGAGACTTGTTGTTACTGTGCTTGGCATATCGAATATGTCACGGGGAGCTTGCCAGGCTCTGCCGTGCGGGCGAGATACTCTCGGTAGTTTGCTGGGCTCTCCGAGAGGGGCGGAGGAATCGAACTCGGGTCGGCCATGTTGGCTACGTGCAAGGCAAACGCCCTACCGCTGTGCTATCGCTCCAGCCCATCTCTGGCGTAGCAATAAAGAACTGGGCACAAGAAAGGGCGCTAAAGAGCCAGGACTGCAGATGAGCACACACTCGTGGTGCCTTCTTTTCTCTCTGGGTGGCGTGGAGGCCGACAGCGAAGGGTACAATTTCGTGTAGCCATCTTCTAGAAAGGGGGTCTCGGGTGACCTCAGCGGACTCTCCCAGAGCCGTTCATTAGCATCTCTTCCCCCTTTCCTCCCAGAGCTCGTCCTTAAGGTGAGGATTCAGAACCCATCTCTTCGAGAAAACGATTTCATTGAAATTGAACTGGACCGACAGGAGCTCACCTACCAACAGTTGCTCAGAGTGAGTTGCTGTGAGCTGGGTGTCCATCCCGATCAAGTGGAGAAGATCCGAAAGTTGCCCAATACACTCGTGAGAAAGGTAAGCGCACCCTGCCCTGTCCCGAGTGACCGCCCGTGCTCTGCCCTGGGAAGTACCCGCGTCTTTGCAGTTCTGTGAGTCATAGGTAAAGAAAGGAAATAGAACAGAAAGGAGCAAAGGGTAATTTTCCACATGTAATCACTGGCATTTCTTTTCCTCCGGCTGGGTTAATCGCCACGTCGGCAGTTTTGAAAGCGGTGGAGAATTTCTGAATTACCATTCACACGTACCAATTTCCCGTTGTTTCTGGAGTGCTCTGGAAGGAATCTCCTAGTGCACCATCAGCTGTCCCTTGTGTTTGTGACCTAAGGACCACACCAGATCAGAGGCAGACCCACACAGATACCCATGTGGTCATCCCGGGCTTCCTGGTGTGCCTGGGGCGGGTCAGGCGTCTGGCCTCTTGCCCGAGGGAAAGTGATCCCTGTGTGGCCTCAACCGTTGCCGCAGCCAGCCCTTCCCAACCCTAATCCACTGCCAGGGCTCCTGTAGTGCCACTGATAGCGCATTGGCATTGCTTCCTCCTGTCCCCTTCCCCTTTTTTTCTTTTTTTTTGGTGGGAGCGGGGAGTGGGGCTTGGCTTTAAAATAAGCCCAAGAGACTCGTATCAGCACAGAACCCCAAACTCACAGTTTCTTTCTGTTTTGTTTCTGGGTCACACCTAGTGGTGCTCAGGGGCTACACCTGGTTCAGAGCTGGGGGCACCATGCAGTGCTGTGGACCGAAGCTGGGGTCCCGGAGGCCGCTGTGCCTCCCTCTCCGGTCTCTACCAAGTGGTTTCTCTAACCTGCTCAACCTGATTTTGGTTTTAGGACAAAGATGTTGCTCGACTTCAAGATTTCCAAGAGCTGGAACTGGTTCTGTTGATCAGTGAGAATAATTTTCTGTTCAGGAACGCTGCGTCCTCTCTGACAGATCGGCCTTGCTACAACAAGAGAGCTTCAAAACTGACTTACTAATGCAGCAGGGACTTCTTCACTGAGTAGCGTGACAGTTTTGCGTCACCTCTGGGCCAAGGACAAGCCATTGTCCCGGGGGGCCCCTGGTGCCCCTGTGCAGTCCACACTAACTAAATCACTCTGCCTAGGTAGGGCGCCCCGACCCCGGCAGCGGTGCCATTCTTCCAGGCCTCTTGGTGCACAATAAACCTATTGCTTGAAGCTGCGAGCAGCGGAGAAGTGGTGTGGAGAGGCAGCCGCGGCCGGCTCTTGACTCAGTGTGTTTTATGCGCCGAGTGTAAGAGTTGTCTGAGCAGAAGCCGAGAGAGAGCAGAGCCTATTTCTAGCCACTCCTGTTGGCGACAGCGCACCTGAAGGGCCAGGGTGCGCGTCTCTCTCGGCGGTTCCTGCTCACACCTCTCCTGCAACGCGAACCAAGTAGGGAGGAAAGTCTGGGCAAGCACAGGTACCATACCGGCCGGACAAATTTTAGCGTGACTTGTGACTGTGAGGTTTCCTATTAACACATTTATAAATGTTAACTCAGGTTAAAAATATTTAAGATTTCAGATACCTTATACCAGATCATTGTACATAGGCTGTTAACCAAAAGAGCTCCCCCTCCCCCTCCCCTCCATCCCCCCTCTCCGTGTTTTCTTTGTGAACACACCAGTGCTTCTGAGAATCCCCCCGCGCCCGCTCCAACAGCCGGCCCGGCACTGAGCCCTCGCTGCCACCAGAGGGCGCCCTGCGCCTCCCCAACGCCGAGCCCCTTGCTCGGGAGCGCGCTCGGCCAAGAGCACAAACGTCCTCGCCTGTCCACCGTCTGCGCTCTCGTCTTCCAGTGGAGACAGTAAGCAATTTTTGAGGCCGCCTCTGTGGCTCTTTTAAAGGAAGGTTAGAGTGAGAAACCGAGAAGAGTTAGCATCTTTATTTTTGTATCAAAGATAAAGGTTATTTTGAAATGATTAGAATTTTTACACAACTCCGCCGTTGCAAGCAAATGGTCCGATCGCTGGGATTCCCCCTACCCCACCCTCCCTCCCTGACCCACTTAGCAGAGTCAGTGGCAAAGGGGGGGAAGGGGGTCCAGCAGGCTTTGTTCTGGAAAGGCAGACACTGGATCAAACTCCTGAGCATGGCCCTGTAGGTTCTTTAAAGAATGACTTCAAGGTCTGTGTTTCCTCTCCTCCGTTGTCACTAATATGGAAGGCCACTGAGCTTCGGGAACGAGGACGCACACACGTAGACAAACCCGGGCGCAGGGCTCGGCGCCTCCCTGCTGTCTGGTGCAGCTCCCCCCCCCCACCCCAGAGTGCCTCGATTTTCCAAAGAAACTGACCCCCCCACACACACCTGTGTTAACTCCTGGAGCACCTGGACCCAGGGAGAGCGCCGAAGGTCGGTGGCAAGAGGAGGTGGCCAGAGGAGGTCGCACTAAGACCACAGCCCCCCACCGACGTCAGAGCGGTGTTCAAGGCCACCCTCAGGGCAGCCCCCAGTTCCTGGTGTGACTCACCTTTGTCCAGTGTCCGCCTCGAAGAGCCAAGGTCACTTACTGCCCCTTCCCTGAAGTGCTTTCAGGAAGAAACCTTTGTGTTTCAAGCAATCAGACGGTTCTCTTGTCTAGCTAGACACGATACCCCTTTTAAATTTTCTTTGCTTGGGAAAAAAAAAGTTTTGCAGTGTGCACTGATCAATGAAGGCCGGTTTTTATCCTGGAGGAAATCAATGCAGTATAAATTCACGTTTGAATCACTGGGGTTACAGCTCTCTCAGCCATTCAGCTCAGTTAGATTCTCAGAAGCAACAGCTGCGGGCCAGGGCATTCCGTGCAGGGGGGCTTGACCCCCCCACCCCCCAGGTCTGCGCTCTCCAAAGCCCTCTGTAACCCCCAGATTCCTGTGCACGGAGGGGGGTTAAGACGGCACAGTGGCTGGTCGGTGATTTCAAGTCTTAATCTATGCATTCAGAGAAATATTTTTATATGGCTTTGTGTAATTTATAACACAGCTTTTTTTTAGCTCTGTGAACTGTGACGTCGCCCCTCCCCCCACGCATATTTAAAGCATGTGTTCACATTGTGTGTAAACATTCATGGGAGCGCCCTCCCTGTGCATTGCTGACTGTTCAAACATCACACAGATTATTAAAATCAAATATTAACCGACTGAGCCCAGATTCTTTCATTTTGGCCCCCGAATGGCACCGTCCTTCCCATCCGAGGGGGTTTCAATTGCGGGACCTTTCAGGGCCGAGCTGCTCGGAAGGAGAATAGAACGGCCCTTGGCCCACCTGCGCCTCCTCAGGCCTGTCAAGTGGCCCTGGAGACGCGTGCCCGCCGCTCCCCCGCAGTCGGCCTCGTTTCCCCGGAGAAGCTGAGCCTGCGAGATGGAGGTCACCCTCTTCCAACCACAGTTTTTGATTATCCTATTAACTTGACACAACTGCGCTCTCCTCCGGGCTGTCAGCCCCTGTCAGGGCCTCAATAAGCGGAGAAGCCGGCTCCTGAGACAGGAGGAAACGCGGGTTTCCACCTTCCACTCTTCAGCCGAGCACAGTGCCGATGAGTCTGCGTTCCTGCCGGGCGAGGGAGCGAGCGCCTCCCGGAGCAGACGTCATGCCAAATTGGCCTAATCAATCAGGGCCAGCGCGGAGACCTTTTCTCAGCATCAGGAGAGGCAGAATAATTTGGGCATTTGTGCTCTCAGACTTGCTCTATCGTCGGGACGGAAGACTGCTTCCACACGCTCATAAACATCCCAGGCAGAAACCGCCTGCCAAAAAAATGTGATTAACCTTTTACAAATGGTCCTGCAGCACAGGCTGCCCCGATGCATGGAGAAAAAACCAGATCAAAGTAGTCACGGAGGGCGCAAACATTTTAGGGAGGGGGAGCAAACAAGCCATCCCTCAGCCACTCCACTTCTCGAGGCTCGAAGAATGGAAGTGAGCCAGGCCACCTCCCAGTGAGGGAATCCACTCCAGCTATAAGCCCAGGCCATAGGTGCGCTGACCCACCGGAAGGAACTCCTTGCCTTGCTCAAGAAAGCAAATTTGGGGCTGGAGCGATAGCACAGTGGGTAGGGCGTTTGCCTTGCACGCGGCCGACCCAGGTTCGATTCTCATCATCCCTTATGGTCCCCTGAGCATCGCCAGGAGTAATTCCCCTGTGGAGAGCCAGGAGTAACCCCTCTGCGTTGCCGGGTGTGACCCAAAAAGCAAAAAAAAAAAGTAAATTTCAATTTTGTTCCCCCACTCATCCTGTGGGCCAGCCGGGCCTCTGGGGGGCCCCTGTGCCCTCCGTGTTCAGCTCCAGCGGGACTGAGTTAAGACAAATGGCTCATGACCTCTTTGGCTCTAGGGGGACCGTCTTGAACAGGACTGCTTAAATGAGGCACCAGGTGAAGCACCAGGCATCCATCAGCCCCCTGGAGGAGAAGGCTGAGAGGTCCAGGGAAGCACAGCTGCTTTGCCCAGAGGCCTCGGGCAAGGGCCTGGGTCTTTGACTTCCCCCTTTTATGGTACTTACACAGCAGTGCACGGGCTGCTGCCGGGACCCCACAAGTTTTGGCCGTGAAAACAAGATTTGTAACCAAAATCTCTCAGGGTTTGAAGTTTTCAGAGAACCCAGCCGTACAGGTGTGTACAGAACACATTCCTGCCTCTCCCCCTTCCCCCGCTGGGTCCCCCACAAAGTCCCAATTCCCAGATCCCGTGGAAAGGCAGAGACGGGTAAGACCGGTGTAGACAGCATTCACCACGTTGCTTTATTTCATCAGTGCCCCATTTTTAATGGATTCAGGCCAGCACCCCAGAGTACAGGACTCCATTCCCAGGACAGCCTGGCTGGCAGTCTCGTGTTCCGAAAGGAAAATGCGATAATGGGGGAAAAAATCTTCAGAGTAGAAAACATGAACAATCACAGGGGCAGAGGGGGGTCATTCTATGCAACACTGAAACAGGACAGTGAAAATGATACCAGATCGGGGAACTGGGAGGCTGAAGGGTGAGTCTGGCTCCACCTCGAACTAGCTTTAACCTTGGGCACAACAGTCAGTGCTGGACATCAGTTCCCCAACCAAAGCACCGAGCTCTTGTTCACCAGTGAGGAGCTGTCCACAGGCGAATCGGAAACAGACACCTGCACCTGTGGTCTGGGACAGGTCACTGATGGCGTTTGTTCCCTTTTGGAGGGAAATTGAGGAGGGTCAGGGGGAAGTCCCAGGAAGATGGATCAGGCCAGGCCATCATCTCGGGCCATGCTGTAGAAGATGCCTCTGGCTTCGATCAAGTTGGACGGAGAATCAAACTCCGCTATCGTCCCTTTGTCCAGAACCAGAACCCTGGTCAAAGCAAAAAAAAAAAAGTGTCAGGCAGGCCCATCAGCCCACACTCGCTCTCCGAGCCCCGCCTTGCCTTTTTGGGTACTGTGAGACCCTGCGGTGACGCTAGCCCTCTGCGTCATGCAGCCCACCAGCAAGGCGCGTGCTCACCAGCCGGGTTATTTTAGCTGCTCTGGTTGCTCTCCTGGCAAATTTGAGGCGATTTCTGGGATCAAATACGAGGTCCTATTCATCTCTCCTAGTCGGGGCTCCAAAAGCCTTCCCTAATGAGCCCTTCCCCTGGCCGGGGTCAGAGGACCGTGTGCTGGGCCCCGGGGGCTCCCATCTGCTTTATGCCGGCTCACAAAGGCACAGTGGGAGCCCCGGCCGCAGCCAGGGCTGACCCCAGAAATCTGGGACTCTGCAAGACTGGCTGTTGCCGGCATGTGGGCCCCTTCTCCACTCCCATGCACACACACATAGACACAGATGCACACATAGTATACGAGTGTGCACACAGGCCTACAAGTGTGTGTGTGTGTGCACGCTCAGCACACACACACACACACCCCTGGGCCTAGGATTGAAATTTTATGTTGGTGTGTGTGTGTATGTGTGTGTGTATGTGTATGTGTGCCTATATGTGTGTCTATATGTATGTGTCTATGTATATCTATGTGTCTGCATTTGTGTCTGTGTATGTGTGTCTGTCTGTATGTGTGTCTGTGTGGGGATGTGTGTGTATGTATGGATATCTATGTGTATCTGTATGTGTGTGTCTGTATTTATGTGTTTGTCTATGTGTGTCTGTGTGTATGTCTGTGTGTGTGTCTGTGTGTATGTCTGTATATCTGTGTGTCTGTGTTTATGGGTGTGTGTCTGTGTGTCTGCCTGTGTGTATATATGTCTGTGTGTATGGGTGTGTGTTTATGTGTGTGTGTATGGGTGTGTGTCTATGTGTATGTGTGTGTGTATGGGTGTGTGTCTGTGTGTGTGTATGGTGTGTGTCTGTATGTGCATGGGCATCCATTGCCTGGAATGCTCAGCCAAGGCAGGACCAACAGTAAGCTGGCCCACCAGCCCGGCTGGCCCAGAACGGGCTCTCTCATACCTGGGGAACTGCTCCTCGCTGGGTGTGGACCGTATCAGGGGCTTGCAGGAATGTGGCGGGGTCAGGGGAACAAGTCTACTAATACGGGAGGGGCCAGCTCACACCTCCCCAGGCAAGCTTGAGGATGAGGGCCGTCCCCCAAAGTCCTTGAAGGGGGACCCAGGGAAGAAGCTAGCATTTCCCAGGATGCCCTGCACGGCACCCACTCTCTACGACCTTTCTTCAGCAGCTGAGAGACATTTCCGGGTCCACTGAAACAGGGCCCCAGAAGTCTGAGCAACTGCCAGGGACAAAGGCGGCCCTCGGGTCTCCCCGACACCCCGACCTCCTCAGGCAGAGTGGAGCCCCACCGGGGCAGGCCCATCAGCATCACCCCCCTTGCTGGGCTAACTTCTGGGTGTGCACATCCAAACCAGGCAGGAGAGGGCCCCGAGGGAGGGCAGGGTGAAGCCCCCTCCCCTCACAGTGTTCTAGGGGACCCCAAAGCCTCCCATGTGTCTCAAACAGCCCTGCCTGCTGTTGGGAAACCTCTCTGCGGCCGGGCCCTCTGCAGAGCTCTCACTTCCCGTGGGCCAGGGACCCCGCCCCGCCTGCCCACCCGCAGAGCCCACCTGTCGTAGTCCATGATGGTGCGGAGGCGGTGGGCGATGGTTAGCACCGTGCAGCTCTCAAACTGGGTGCGGATGACGGCCTGGATGAGCCTGTCCGTCTCCAGGTCCACGGCTGCTGTGGCCTCGTCTAGAATTAGGATGCGGCTCTTACGGAGCAGGGCCCGGGCCAGGCACACGAGCTGCCGCTGACCCACGCTGGAAAGGAGGTGGGCCATCATCTCAGTGGTGTGCCCATCTGCCCCGCCCCGCTCCCCGCTCCCAACCCGGACAACTGCCTTCCCATGATGCAGGACAGCCGCTCTGGCTCTGCAGCCTGAGCCCAGTCCTCCGGCTCCCGGCGTGCAGATGGGGACCCTGAGGGGCCTTGGGGAGAGAGCCAGTGTCCGACACAGGGACAGCCCCAGCCCTTGGCCTCCTCTTGCAGTGACACCTGGTACTATGAAGCCCTTTGGCTTCACTGCATTCGTCACACGTTAGTCAAAAAACACTCAGAAGGGGCTGGAGCGATAGCACAGCATTTGCCTTGCACATGGCCGACCCGGGTTTGATTCCCAGCATCGCATATAGTCCCCTGAGCAACCAGGAGTAATTCCTGAGTGCATGAGCCAGGAGTAACTCCTGAACATTGCAGGGTGTGGCCCAAAAAGAAAAACAAACAAACAAAAACAACCACTCAGGGACTGGAGCCATAGTATAGCAGCTGGGTGCTTGTGTTACGTGAGCCGATATGGGTTTGATCCTGAGCATCTATATGGTCCCCTGAGCCCTGAGCCCCACCAGGAGGGATTCCTGAGCGCAGAACCAGGTGTAAGCCCTGAGCACCACTGGGTGTAGCCCTCACCTCTCCGAATAAAGAAAAAAAAAAAGAGAAAGCACTTCAATGCCTTTTTTCTGGCTATACCTCTCACTTTGTCTATGATCTCAGAATTAAGATGGGCTGTTTTTTTCTTTTTTTGGGCCACACCTGGCGATGCACAGAGGTTACTCCTGGCTTATGCACTCAGGAATTACTCCTGGTGGTGCTCAGGGGACCATATGGGATGATGCTGGGAATCAAACCCGGGTCGGCTGCGTGCAAGGCAAATGCCCTACCCGCTGTGCTATCGCTCCAGCCCCAAGATGTGCTTTTAATTCTGGAGGGTGGGGGTCAGGGCTCTGTTGTGAGTGCAGAGAAAGGTCCTAACAGGGAGGACCTGAAAAGCACCCCCCCCCCCACCACCAGGTAGGAGGGAGCCTTGGAATGCAAACGCTCTCCTGTAACCAGAGGCAGGGAACAAAGCAGGCTGTGTTCGGGCAGGGAGGATGCAGCCCCCCCTCCCCAAGGACAAATACCTCGTCCTTTCCCAGAGGGGTGAGTCACCGCAAAGCGCACGCCCGCCCTCACGCAAAAGCCAGCCGCTCTCCTTGGCCCATTCCCACAGCTAATGAAGGCGCTGGCAGCAGAATGCACCACCATCTCAGCCTCCGGGCTGATTTATGGGGGGACCGACCCGGACGAAACACAGCCTCCACTCCACGTGGCGACCAGCTCAGTGGGGGAGGAGGGGAGCCACGGGACCCAAGGGCTCCCTCCTGGGGACACAATGGTGGCACGCAGGAATGAAGAGGGGGCCAGGTCTGGAAACCCACGCTTGCCCACCAGTTACCCCAACACAGTGCTATCAGTGGGAACCAGAGAAATGCACATTCAATTTTCCAGACTGTGGGAGAGGCTGGGCGCCATGGCTGACTGAGATGCAACTAGGAAAAGTTTAGGGCAAAACTCCCCACTTTTGGGGCTGGAGCGATAGCACAGCGGGGAGGGCGTTTGCCTTGCACTTGGCCGCCCCGGGTTCGATTCCCAGCAGCCCATATGGTCCCCTGAGCACCGTCAGGACTAATTCCTGAGTGCAGAGCCAGGAGTGACCCCTGTGCATCTCCGGGTGTGACCCAAAAAGCAAAAAAGAAAAAAAAAGCAAAAAAACCTCCCCACTTTCTGGGCCAGAGAGTTAGTACAGGGGTTACGGCACATTGCATAAGCTGATCCCTGGCATTGTATATGGTCTCCTGAGAACTGTACCAAGTGTGATGTCTGAGCACAGAGACGGGAATAAACCCCGAGCACCATCAGTGGGGCCCAACCCTCCTCCCCCCTCAAGTAAAACCAAACAAAAACACAACTTCGCTCAGCTCCTCTCCTGCCCCCTTTGCTCATTGAGCAGCTTGAGGCAAATCATTTCATCCTCTGGAATCTTATTTCTGGGCCACGGGACTGCAGTAAAGATTTTTTAAAAAGATACTGGGAGCCAAAGGGCTTTTAACATATTAAATGATGTGCAAATGTAGGTTTTTGTTTTTGAGGCCTGCAGAGTCCCTGGATGTGGACTTAGGAAGCAGCTGGAGCTGAGGAGCAGGAGGGGAGTGGGGCCAGCATCATGGGGAGATGTCTCCAAGGGCGAAGGACATGCTTTGCATGGAGGGGCTGGGCTCCATCGCCAGCAGGAAGCGTCCCTCCATCTCCAGCAGGAAGAGAAACAAACATAGTAGAAAGGCAACAGGAACAACAAAACTGGGGAGCGGGAGAGAGAGCACTGAGGACGGGGTGCTTGCCTTGCACACAGCTGATTTAGGATTGACCCCCTGCACCCTGGACAGTCCGCCAAGCACTGCTGAACCAATTCTTAGATGCAGAGCCAGGAGTAACCCCTGAGCATTGCAGGATGTTTAAACAAATTTTTGGCATTGTGGCTTATAGTACTGTTACTGGGCTGGAGCGATAGCACAGAGGGTAGGGCATTGCCTTGCTCACTGCCGACCTGGGTTCGATTCCTCTGTCCCTCTCGGAGAGCCCAGCAAGCTACCGAGAGTATCCCACCTCCACGGCAGAGCCTGGTAAGCTCCCCGTGGGTATTCGATATGCCAAAACCAGTAACAAGAAGTCTGACAACGGAGACATCACTGGAGCCCACTCAGGCAAATCGATGAACAATGGGAGGACAGTGCTACAATACTGTTACTGATGGGGTTTCATGCCTAACACTGCACCTCTGAGTACCCTCTCCCTTCCCTCGGAGTGATCACTTCCCTCCAACCTGGTCCCAGGGTTCTTTTCTTTTTTGCTTTTTGGGTCACACCCGGCGATGCACAGGGGCTACTCCTGGCTCTGCCCTCAGGAATTATTCTTGGCGGTGCTCAGGGGACCATATGGGATGCTGGGGATCGAACCGGGGTCAGCCACGTGCAAGGTTCCCAGGGTTCTTGTTCCTGTCCTAAACGCCCACTCCTGCCCGTGGAAAGTTTCCAGAAAGAAGAGAAGATCCGTTCTCATGTCCTTTCTTCCTTTTCATGGGGGCTGAGGATGGCGGGTTTGGGGGCAAATCAGGAAAGAGAAGTGGAAGCTTTGAGGCTCAGGAGGAAGTGACTGCCAGCCCTCCCTCACGCCAAGGCTAGCAGCGGGGGACAGAAAACCCCGGTCTCCCAGGAGGCAAAGGGGAACTGTGGGGCTTGCTTTGCTTACTCCTAAACTGCAGAGGAAACTCGGTGTGCCTGGCGCAGGGTAGATGATCCCCCAAAGCACTGCACCTCGGTTCCCTCCTCACCCAAAGGCCCGACCACCTCAGGGAACCCAGGACGCACTGAGGGGGTCTTGGCCCCTCCAGCTCCTGGCTCACATCCCAGACCTGCATGCTTCTTCTGGGCGGTGACTTGGGCCTCCACTTACTCATCCGCAAAGTGGGGCCACCCGTGGGACCTAGGTGAGGAGGCCATGGCACCGTGCACACAGGGGACCCCAACTGCCCCCTGGGGTGCAGAGGGCTGGAAGGCTGCCTGCGTTCTTCTAATGGGGTGCCAGGTCCTCTGCTCCTGAGGGTCCCCTCGGTTACCTGAGGTTCTCCCCGCCCTCGCTGCACTGGAAATCCAAGCGGGCCGGCTGGGAAACCACGAAGTCGCGCAGGTGGGACAGCTCCAGGACACGCCAGAGGTCCTCTTCGGAGGACGTGCTGAAGGGGTCCAGGTTCATCCGCAAGGTCCCCGAGAACAGGATGGGCTCCTGAGACCCCAACAAGGACTCAGAGGGTGTCAGTTGCAGCCCCCCAGGGGGAGTGCCGGGCCCCAGAGTGAGGGGGAACGCTGAACTCTCTCCTGGTCCCCCCCCAACCCCCAGGGAGGCAGCTGCCCACGCACATAAGAAGCGTCTGTGGAGAAGTGATAAGCACGGTGCTGCCAATCAGAGCCCTGGGCGACATGAAACCCAGCCACTAATCTAACTCCAAAGTGTTGAGCCAGCAGAAAAGAAAAAAAAAAGAAAGAAAGAAACCCTCTAAGGGGAAACAGAAAACATGGCCCAGAGCCCAGAGGGGGTGCCCAGGGTGCAGGGCCCTGTCCTCCCAGCTCCATCTGCTGGCCCAGGCCAGACCCCTCCCCAGCCAGGGCCCCTCCGAGCCTTCCAAGGCTCCAAGACTGGGCTGAACCCCCTCCGCCCAACACGCACACACACACACACACACACACAGCACCCCCGGTACAGACCCGGCTTCCCACCTGGGGAATGATGGTCAGCCGGGACCGCAGGTCGTGGAGCCCGATGTCGGCCACGTTGATACCGTCGATGAGGATTTCGCCTTTGGTGGCCTCCAGGATGCGGAACAGGCAGAGGGTCATGGACGACTTGCCGGCCCCCGTGCGGCCCACAATCCCCACCTGAATCAGCGGGAAAAGGGCCGTCAGGTGGAGGCTCTGGCGGGTGGGCATGACCTGCAGTCCCCCCGCCCCGCCCCTGCCCCCACCCCGCTCCCCCCAGGGCAGCGTCCAGCCCTGAGGTACCTTCTCGCCACCGTGCACTTGCAGGCTCAAGTCCTTCAGCACCAAGTCCAGGCCGGGCCGGTAGCGCACCGAGTAATTCCGGAATTCCACCTCGCCACGCAGGGGCCAGCCCGAGGGGGGCCGGCTTCCTTCCACCACCCAGGGGGCCTGGCCCAGAGGAAGGAGGGTCATCACTGGGATGCACGTCTCCCCCACCTCTCGTCTCAGCCTCCCACTCCGCACCCTGCACTGGGGAGCTGTCCCCAAGTGTCCCCGTCCTGCCTTCTCCTGGTGCTTTCCTACTAACCCACTTCTGAGCCATTCCTCCCGGCCTGCCTCAACTGTCCCTTTCATCATCTCTCCCGCGGCTGCTACTCCATGACAGTGTAAGGGTTCCAGCGCCAGCTCACTGAGTCTCCCTGGCCCCTTGAGGTTGGCATTCTAGTCGAGGGGTCAGGCCGACAGCACACACACAAAGCCCTGAGTGCTGAGAAATGCCAGGTGTTGTCGTTTGGTACAGGGCAATCAGGGAAGACTTCCTAAGGAAGGGACAGAGAGCTTAAAGACTTAACCAGAATCAGAAATGTTGACACTGCTGTAACCACGTTCCCTAAACAACAGTAAAAATAAAAATGTGTTCAGCTGGAGAGATCGTACAGTGGGTGAAGCCCCCAAACCTGATATAAAATTAAAAATATACACAGGGGTGAGCTGGAGTGATAAGTACAGTGGGTCGGGTGCTTGCCTTGCACGTGGTTGATCTGGGTTCGTTCAATCCCCAGCATCCCATACGGTCCCCAAGCCCTCCAGGAGTGAGGCTGCACCCAGAGTCAGGAGTAACCCCTGAGCATCGCTAGGTATGTCTCCTTCCCCCCCAAAAAATGTACACAGGGGATGGCTGGAGAGATAGCACAGCGGGTAGGGCGTTTGCCTTGCACACGGCCAACCTGGGTTCGATTCCCAGCATCCCATATGGTCCCCTGAGCACCACCAGGAGTAACTCCTGAGTTCAGAGCCAGGAGTAATCCCTGTGCATCACCGGGTGTGACCCAAAAAGCAAAAAAAAAAAAATGTACACAGGGGAATGAATGGTGGTTCTTGAGCATTTTGGTGGTGATGAGGTGAGGTCACTGTGTATAAACCAAGGTCATATATGCCACACCATCATAAACATATTACCTTAACTATAATAAATTAAAATTTGGGGGGCCCATACCCGGCTGTGCTCAGGACTTAGTCCTGGCTCTGTGCTCAGGGATCTCATATTTGGTGCCAGGGATCAAACGCAGGTTAGCGGTGCGCAAGGCATCGCTCCACCCCACTAAATGTGTTAATAGCAGCAAGCCTCTGTCGTAGGCAGGAGCAGAGAAGGGACCTGTCGTGCTGGAGGTAGGACACAGGGAGTGGGGCCAGGATCCAGGGCCACGCCAGGCCATTTTCAGGATGAGAATTTCCAGTCTGAGTAAGAAAGAACCACAGTCGGGCCGTCCACAGAGAACAATTTTGTGATTTGATGTCTTTTTAAAGGATCCCTCTGGCTGCTAAGAGGGGAAGGGAAGGTGGAGACAGGAAGAAGTTGGAAGGCTGTTAAAATTAATTGGGCATAAGATGATGGCGGCAGCGGCGGCGGTGGTGGCGCAGGCTTCGTGACAGGCTAGATTACGTATCTTGGGATGCTCTGTTCAAAATGAAAACCCGTGGGGAACCCAGGTTCAAGGCAATTATAATGGGGCCGGAGCAATAGCCTAGCAGGTTGGAGTGCCTGTATTGCATGCAGCGACCCGGGTTCAATTCCGGGTACCCCTCTGTTCCTCTGATCTCCCACCAGGAGTGATCCCTGAATACAGGGCCAGGAGTAAGCCCTGAGCACTGCCGGATGTGGCCCCAAAACAAAATGAATAAAAGCGATTATGAATGTCTAGGGACAACAGCAGACAGAGCATTAAGCTGGGAGCTTGGGGCTGTCCTTCGAACGACTGTCCCTTCAAAGAGCAGGGACATGTGCCCCTGCCCAGGAAGGCAGCTCTGCTTCCAGGCAGGACAGACGGGTGTGGTGGCCAGCCAGAGACTGAGCACTCCTCTCTGGAGTCAGAGGCAAGAATTAGCACACAGTGGACAGTGGGTTGGGGGCTCTGCAGACAGGATTGTGTATAGAAAAGGGAAAAAGCAGGTGCTGCCCAGAAAGAGGGGGGATCTGAAGAAGCTGGGGGGAGGGCCGGGGGGGGGATAGGGCATGGCAGTGATGCCTGGGAAGGCAGAGGCAGGCCAGGCTGGGGGGAACAACGGGTGGGGGGAGGGGCCTCAGGGCCAGAGCTGCTCTTTGTTCTGTCTGAATTACAGGAGGAGAGAACCGTGTCTCCTAGGCTGGGACCAGAGAGGGAACTGATGAGCCAGTGCAGGGCAGTGAGGGCCAGGAAGCCAGAAGCGGGCAAGGTAAGGAAGAAGGGCAGACTATGTATATTAGCTTTGAGGGGGGAGTCACTCCTAGGGACTACTCCCAGCCCTGCACTCCGGGATCACTCCTGGTAGGCTCTGGGGACCATTTGGGGTGCTGGGGGTCAAACCCAGTCACATGCTAAGCAAGTGCCTTACTCGTACTATCTTTCTGGCCCCACCGACTGTATTTCGTATATATGTATGTGTGTATTTATTTATCCCTTTTGGGTCGTACCCGGTGATGCTCAGGAGTTACTCCTGGCTCTGCACTCAGGAATTGCTCCTGGCGGTGCTCGGGGGACCATATGGGATGCTGGGAATTGAATTAGGATCAGCTTCGTGCACAGCAAACGCCCTCCCCACTGTGCTATCGCTCCAGCCCCACTGACCGTATTTTATGCTTTTTTGGGTCACACCTGGCAATGCACAGGGGCTACTCCTGGCTCTGCACTCAGGAATTATCCCTGGCGGTGCTCAGAGGACCATATGGGATGCTGGGAATCAAACCCGGGTTGGCTGTGTGCAAGGCAAACGCCCTACCCGCTGTGCTATCGTTCCAGCCCCACCGACTGTATTTTAAAGCAAGATTACTAGGGAGCGGAGGAAGAGACAGTGGGGTGGGTGGGTGTGTGTGTTTTGGGGGGTGGGCTGGTGCGTCTCGAATGGAAGGAGGAACCTGAGCTTTCTGGCTTGAGGATGAGAATTCACAGAGGAAGCAAGACTGATGGGGGAGGACGACGGCGTGAATGAAAGTCCAGCAAAGGGCAAGTCGGAGGACTGGACCCTGAAACCAGGGGGGACATTTCTTGTCCCCAGGTAAAGGAGGGGCCTCAGGACGTGGCTCTGGGGTCATCCTTTCCCCCTACCCACCGCAGCACTGCAGAGTGTGCCTCAGGGTCCCCCAGTGCTGGGGCCAAGCATTGGCCCACTGGATCTGGTTGGACAAATAATGTTGCAAGTGGCCCCTTGAGCGCCTCCCCTAACTCCAGGAAATAGAAACAAATTTAAATAAAAGAGAAAGAAAGAGAGTGAAAGGCCACAGGGAGAATTAAAAGTTTGGTGTTTTTTTTGGGGGGGGGCAGGTGGCAGAGGGGTTGCTTGTGGGACCATGTAGTGCCAGGAACCCAATCTGGAGCGTGCTGAAAACTATGTACTTTAAGTCCTTTGAACCATTTCTCAAGTCCTAACAGAACTGAGAGTCTAGGGTGGGAGAGATGATACAGGAGGTAAGGTAAGGCAGACCCTAATTTGAATCCCTGGCACCCCAGACTGTCCCCTGAGTACAGTCAGGATCACTTCTGAGCACGGAGCCAGGATGAACCCCTGAACACTATCGAATCAAACAAAAACAAAAAATGAAAAAGAATCAAGGGGGTTAGGCTGATAATACAGTGTGTACAGCGCTTGCCTTATACATGGTTAACCTGGAGTTTTATCCCCCGGCACCTCATACAGTCCCCTGAACATTGCCAGGAGTGATCCCTGAACATTGCTGGGTGTGGCCCCCAAACAAACAAAAAAGCCAGAAAATCTGGGGGCTGAAGCGATAGCATAGCGGGTAGGGTGTTTGCCTTGCATGCAGCCGACCTAGGTTCAATTCTCAGTATCCCAAATGGGTATGAGTAATCCCATATGAGTAATTACTGGGTGCAGAACCAGGAGTAATCCCCGTGCATCACTGGGTGTGACCCAAAAAGAAAAAAAAATAGAAAATCTGGATGCAGGGGAGGTCAATGAGCTTTTTTTTCCCCCCACTGAAGTGTCGGCTGAGGTCATAGAAAAGGTCACTGAACACAAGAGAGAAAAGGCCAGGGTCTGAGGAGAAGGACCCTTCAGAGCAGGGAATACGGGTTCAGGAGGCAGAGTCAGAACACCCTCCGTGGCATGTGCTCACCCCGTGGGGTAGACTCGATCTTTTCCAGCGCTGGCTGGCTGCTGCCAACACAGACTGGAAGGCAGTAAGATGGGGTTCCAGGGTGTGATCTTGTGGTCGAGCTGAGCGTGATGGGGGAGGGAGGGGAGCACAGAGGAGTTCAGGCCACACGAGCCGATGGAAAAGGGACAAAGGAAGGCCATGAGAGTGGGGGTCTCGGGTGGGAACAAAGCATGTGACAGCGGAGGGCTTGAAACACATATGGTGGGAACGGAGATTTCAAGTGGTTGCAGGGGGGTGCTGGAGAGACAGCACAGCGGGTAGGATGCTTTCCTTGAATGCGGCCGGCCCGGGTTTGATCCCCAGAATCCCAAGCAGTTCCCCAAAGCCCCAGCAGGGGAACTGATTTGATTTTACCTCACCTAAATCAGACCTAGGCTAAAACAGTGCCTGGATATGTCTTACAAGTAAAAACTACATATTATCTCCAATTCTATTTTCTTGAACACATGGAATAATCTTAATCACTATTTTAGTTCTAAACTGGAACAACTCAAATATTCATCAGAAGGTGAATGGATAAGCAAATTACTATATATATTCCTGCACTGGAAGAGTAGTTGATAATAAGAAGAAATTACTGATACATGCAGCAAAATGAATAATTCTTAAAAACTAAGTGAAAGAAGCCATATGAAAGAGCACATAGTATTTGATTCCGCTTGTATGGAATTCTATCTAAGTCTTTAGTTAAAGCTAAATTCTCATCTAAAAATGGAATAGTATATATTTCATTAGACTATTGTATAAAAAAAGTAACAAATACCTAGAATACATTCATTACAAAAAATAAAGAAAA